ACTTCGAACTTACTCCTGTGTTCCCTCTCCTCTAGAGACGTTGAGCCTCCGGAAAGTGATGACAATATCTTCCTCGTCGAAACAGCGTGTAAAACGACGCCTTCCTTTCGCGTTTGGTGTGCCATTGAAAGGTAACTTGACCTGCCGTTCAGCTTTTCCTGTTAAGGTCATACGCATCTAGTAGTTTACCAAATATATATATATATATATATATATATATATATATATATATATATATATATATATATATATATACATATTTATATATCCATATATATACACATACATATAGCTACACACACACACACACACACACACACACACACACACACACACACACACACACACACACACACACACACACACACACACACACACACACACACACACACACACACACACACAAACACACAGACATACACACACACACACACACACACACACACACACACACACACACACACACACACACACACACACACACACACATATATATAACCTGCGGCCTCTGTTTGTCTGTTCACAGTTGGAGTAGACAAAATCCTTCTTCCCAGGTCTGGTACGTGATGACGTCCCTGACAGTCAATGACACGGACGGCCTCGTGTCACGCCTACAGGAGCAGTACAGCAACCTCAGAATCGTTGGCGCGGACGTCGAGAAGATCTTCGAAGGCACTGGGCTGAGCGGTCTCTTCTCGTCCAGGAAGTGGGTCATGAATGCGAGTGAGTCGAGTGGTTTTATAGATCATAATCATAATCATTATAATCATTATCAACAACAGACGTTCAATAAGGGTTTGTAATCATTCAGATTGCTAAGCTAGGTTAGAATGAAATGCAGATCATATGCTTCTCCCTTTTTTTTATCTATTTTTTTATTGTTTCTTGTGGTTTACTTTCATAAGATTTAGATAATTTAGATAATCGCCCTTGTTTTATGTCGCCGAGATTCGCAAATCACCACACTGAAGAATTCTACACGAGAGATGGTTTGTGTGAATTAACGCAATACCAGCTTTAGTGTGCAATATTTTGAATTCACATTAGGTGCTTTCGGGACGTTTTACATCCTCACAGTTTCGAAAAAAATACAAAAAGGGTGCTTATTTCTGTCGCCTTTTATGTGCGCATGACTATTATATTCACATGCAGTTTGTAGTGACAGTCACAAATAACAGACAAACATGTGATTTCTATATGCACACATGACTCCGCTATTCTTTGTGCAATGGTCTGTTAAAGATAGGGAAGGGTAGCCAAAGGAAACGTCAATCTACACGTTTCTCATAACTTTTATTTGACCAGAGATACAGTTTATATATTACAAAGGAAGTTTGAAATTCCACGCGTTTTTTTTTTACCTGTGCCCCATCCAAAACTAAAACTAAAAAAAAAAAAATAAATAAATAAATAGCATGCAGAGTGGTACGATAATTTTACTCAGCACTTTCTGAACATGCCACTGACCATTATACTCTGTATCTCTGTACATTAAAAAAAAAAAAAAAAAAAAAAAATATATATATATATATATACATATATATATATGTATATATATATATATATATATATATATATATATATATATATATATATATATATATATATATATAACCAGTCAACAATTATCTACAAATAGACTCCCGAAAAATTCTGTCGTCGTTTCTGAAATTCCAAAATTTCGACCCCCCCCCTTTTCTCCTCCGACAGAATGGCCGGCGGTGAAGCTGAGTGATCTTATACGAGTGGCTCTCTTGTGGCGCTGGGGCGGCTTCTACACGGACACGGATACGGTCTGCATCAAGGACGTGTCCCCGCTGCGCAACGTCATAAGTTTTAGCAACAATAAACGGAATTTGATCAGCAACGGCGCTTTTCAGTTCCATCATCACCACAAGTTCCTCGAGCTTTTGATGGAAGTGCAAACGAAGAGTTTTAAGGTGCGTTTTACGTTTCGGTGTAACGAGTGACCACCGAAAGCCACCAGATGTAAGGGTAAGAGAGATAGTCTTGAGGCGGTCAATGAAAGGGGTCTTAGCTTGCTGGTTTATTGTTGAAGATAGATATAAGAACCCCCCCCCCCCCCCCCAAGGACGTGCTGATGGAGCTGGACCCTATGTGGCTTGGCCTCTCTGTCTTGTCTCTCCCTTCGTCTTACGCACGTGTCCTTTTATGCAGCGGTTCCCTTCGACGGCGGATGTTTATTCCTGTGCGAAAAGAGAAAGCCGGGTCCTGCCCAAAGAGAAGGGCAGCTGCTTAGACGGAGGTGTACCACCCGGTCTTGTTACGAATTGTTGGCATCGCTCGGCCACGCGCAAGGCTCGTCCTTGAGCCGTCTGCAACGCTTGAAACGCTTCAGTAGCGCATAGGGGTACAGGTTCTTTTCGGTATCTACAGATAGTTCCTGGTGATTCGATGGTCGCTAGGATCGTCGCGTGCCAGGGTAGCGGGTTTCGCACTGAGGTGCAATCGTTTTCAGAGGCTGAAATATAAGTGTACC